CTGTCTTAGTCTTTTCCCTCACGCTAACTCCACTTCGCTCTCAAACTTCGCTTTCTTCACACCTCATTTTAACTATAATTTCGTCTTCGTCTACATTTTAGCTCTCAACTTCCCCCATTTTTCTGCTTCATCAGGAAATTTACTTCACCCTGCTTACCTATCCTCTGCTACCAAAAACCCTACCCCCCCCTTCTGCTCCCATACCACCAACCCCCTCTCTACATAACAACAACCCCATCCTTCTGTTTACATACACCCCACTCCACCCCCCTGCTACCTACACACTACCCCAATTACGCTTCCTTTACACACCACCCCATTCCTGCTCCCCATACAAAACACCCACCCTCCTGCTAACATACCACCACCACCTTCCTGCTACCATACACTCACCCACCCTCCTGCTCCTACACACCATTACCTTCCAACTACCATACAACCACCACCTTTCTGTACCATACACACCACCCACCTTCCGCAAACCATACCACCACCCACCTTCTCTACCACACACCACCCATCTTCCTACTACCATACATATCAAACCTCACTCTCCTGCTACCACCCCACCACCACCCACCTTCCATACCATTTAACCACCACCCTATCCCTACTACCATACACACACCCCCCTTTCCCTGCTACCAAAACACACCAACCCACCTCCTACTACCATACAAAACACCACCCATCTTCCTACTACCATACACACCCCCACCTTTCTGCTCCCATACACACCACCCCCCTTTCCTACTCCCATACACACCACCCACCTTCCTCTACCATACACCACCCATCTTCCTGTACCATACACACCACCCACCTTCTACTACCATCCCACCACCACCCACCCCTTCCGACAAACCTTACACACCACCCATTTTCCCTTCTACCATACACACCACCCCCCTTCCGCTACCAAACACACCCACCAACCTTCCTGTACCAAAACCCCCACCCACCTTCCTCTCCCCATACACACAAAAACCCATCTTCCAACTACCACACACACCCCCCACTTTTCTGCTACCATAAACACCACCCACCTTCCTGCTACCAACACACCACCCCCCTTTCCCTACTCCATACACACCACCCATCCTCCTACTACAAACAACAACCACCACCTTCCCTGCTACCATACACACCCCCCAAACTCTCCATCTAATACACACCACCCACCTTCCTACCACCATACACACCACCCCCCCTTCCACTACCATCCCACCACCAACCCACCTTCCTACAAACCATACACACCCCCCATCTTCCTACTACCAACACACCACCACCTTCCTGCTAAATACATACCACCCTACCTTCCTACTACCATACACACCAACCAATTTCCTACTACCATAACACCCCAAACCCACCTTCCTGCAAACCATACACACCACCACATTCCTGTTACCCTAAACACCACCCTTCCCTCCTGCTACCATACCACCACTTTCCCTCCGGCTACCATACACACCGCCTCCCTCCTGCTAACCATACAACCACTTCTCTCTCCCTGCTACCATACACACCACCCCCCCCTCCTCCACCATACACAGCACTTCTCCCTCCTGCTACCAACACCCCACCCCCCCCCCTTCCTGCTACAATTCAAAACCACACCTCCCTCCACTACCATACACACCACCCCTCCCCCTGCCCTAAAAACATACCAACACCCCCACCTTCCCTCCGCTACCATACACACCACCCCTCCCCGCCCTTTGCTACCATACACCCCCACCCACTTCCTGCTGCCATACAACACCACCCTCACCTCCGCACCATACACACCACTTCCCCCTCTTGCTACCATACCACCACCCCCTCACTCCCTGCCACCCATACACACCATTCTCCCCCCTTGCTACCATACACACCCACCTCCCTCCAGCTACCATACACACCACCCCTCCTCCTGCTTACCAACACATCACTCCACTCCCCCTCCCTGCCATACACACCACACCTCCTCCCCACCATACACACCACCCTCCCTCCTCTGTTTACCATACACACCACACCTCCTCCAGCTACCATACACCCACCCCCCCTCCCTTTGCTTACCATACACACCACACCTCCCTCCAGCTACCATACACACCACCCACCCCTTTCCTGGCTAACCCATACCACCAACACCTTCCCTCCAGCTACCATACAAAACCACCCCTCCCCCTGCTACCATACACACCACACCCCCTCCAGCTACCATACACACCACCCTCCTCCTGCTCCCATAAAACCCCACACCTCCCTCCACCCTACATACACACCACCCCTCCCTCCTGCTACCATACACACCACTCCACTCTCCTGCTACCATACACACCACCCCTCACTCCTGCCACCATACACACCACTTCTCCCTCCTGCTACCATACACACCACCCCTCCCTCCTGCTACCATACACACCACTCTCCCTCCTGCAAACCATACACACCACTTCTCCCTCCTGCTACCATACCACCATTTCCTCCTCCTGCTACCATACAAAACCCACTTCTCCCTCCTGCTACCATACACACCATTCTCCGTCCCTTCTGCCCTTTACCCCACCACTCTCCCTCCTGCAAACCTTCACACCACTTCTCCCTCCTGCAAACCATACACCCCATTCTCCCTCCTGCCACCATCCCACACCACTTCTCCTCCTGCTACCATACACACCACTTCTCCCCCCTGCTACCATAACCACCATTCTCCCTCCGCCCACCATACCCCCCAACTCCCCTTCTCTTTCCTCCCATCCCACACCACTTCTCCCTCCTGCTACCATACACAACCCCCCCCTCCTGCTACCCATACACACCCCTTCTCCCTCCTGTTTACCATACCCCACTTCTCCCTCCTGCTACCATAAAACACCACTTCTCCTCCTGCTACCATACACACCACTTCCCCCTCCTGCTACCATACACACCACTTCTCCCTCCTGCTCCATACACCCACTTCTCCCTCCTGCTACCATACACACCACTTCTCCCTCCTGCTACCATACACACCACTTCTCCCTCCTGCTACCATACACACCACTTCTTCCCTCCTGCTACCATACACACCACTTCTCCTCCGCTACCATACAACCCCCTCTCCCTCCTGCTACCATACACACCACTTCTCCCTCCTGCTACCTACACACCACTTTCTCCCCTGTACCATACACACCACTTCTATATCCCCTTAACCATCACACCACTTCTCCCTCCTGCACCATACACACCACTTCTCTCCTGCTACCTTTACACACCACTTCTCCCTCCTGCACCATAACCCCACTCCTTCCTCCCTCTTGCTACCATACACCCACTCTCCCTCCTGCTACCATACACACCACCCCTCCCTCCTGCTACCATACACCCCACTTTTTCCCTCCTGCTACCATACACACCACTTCTCCCTCCTGTTTACATAACACCATTTCTCCTTGCACCATACACACCACTTCTCCCTCCTGCTCCCAAATAAAACCCCACTTCTCCTCCTGCTACCATAAAACACCACTTCCCCTCCTGCTACCATACACACCACTTCTCCCTCCTGCTACCATACACACCACTTCTCCCTCCTGCTACCATACACACCACTTCTCCCTCCTGCTACCATACACACCACTTCTCCCTCCTGCTACCTACACACCACTTCTCCTCCTGCTACCATACACACCACTTCTCCCCCCTGCTACCATACACACCACCCCCACCCCGCCCCCATACACACCACTTCTCCCCCCTGCTACCATACCATCCCCCCTCCCCTCCTGCCACCATACACCCACTTTCCCCTCCTGCTACCATACACACCACTTCCCCTCCTGCTACCATACCCCACCACTTTCCCCTGCTTACCATACACACCACTTCCCCCTCCTGCTACCATACACACCACTTCTCCCTCCTCTACCATACACAACACTTCTCCTCCTGCTACCATACACACCACTTCTCCCTCCTGCTACCATACACACCACTTCTCCCTCCTGCTACCATACACACCACTTCTCCCTCCTGTACCATACACACCCTTCTCCCTCCTGCCACCATACACCCATTCTCCTCTTGCTACCATACACACCACTTCTCCCTCCTGCTACCATAAAACACCAAACCCTCCCTCCTGCTACCATACACACCACTTCTCCCCCCTGCTACCATACACACCACTTCTCCCTCCTGCTACCATACACCCACTCTCCACCCTGCACCATACACACCACTTCTCCTCCTGCTACCATAACACCACTTCTCCCTCCTGCTACCATCCACACCACTTCTCCCTCCTGCTACCATACACACCACTTTTCCTACCCTGCTACCTACACACCACTTCTCCTCCTGCACCATACACACCACTTCTCCCTCCTGCTACCATACACACCACTTTCTCCCTCCTTACCATACACACCACTCTCCCTCCTGCTCCCATACACACCACTTCTCCCTCCTGCTACCTTTACACCCCACCCCTCACTCCTGCCCATCCCACACCACTTCTCCCCCCTGCTACATACACCCCACCCCTCATCCTGCCACCATACCACCACTTCTCCCTCCTGCTACCATACACACCAAACTTCCCCCTTCTGCTACCATACACCCACTTCTCCCTCCTGCTACCATACAAAACCATTCTCCCTCCTGCCACCATACACACAACCCCTCACTCCTGCCACCATACTCACCACTTCTCCCTCCTGCTACCATACACACCACTTCTCCCTCCTGCCACCATACACACCACTTCTCCCTCCTGCTACCATACACACCACTTCTCCCTCCTGCTACCATACACACCACTTCTCCCTCTTGCTACCATACACACCACTTCTCCCTCCTGCTACCATACACACCACTTCTCCCTCCTGCTACCATACACACCACTTCTCCCTCCTGCTACCATACACACTAACCCTCCATCCGTTAACACAACTTTCCCTCTGTTAGTTTCACTTCCCGCATCTAACTTCTCTTCAGTAACAACTAACTTCTCTCTCCTCCAGAGTCCGGGATGAGGCCTGCATGACCATCGCGGCATTTCAGTGTCTCTTTCAGAGTGCATCTGAGTTCGGCGCTACCAAAGCAATCCAGGTATTTGTTTTTTTATTCGCTGACACTAATTCATTACGACATTCTTAGATTCGTTAACTAAATAGTGTCGAGGCCTAAAATAATTAGATGCACCGTGAAAGCCGCAGTGGTGTAGGAGAGGAGGACAGCATCACTGATGGTGGCTGCTGAACCAAACAAAGGATTGTTCTAACACTTCTTTATTAGAACTAACGTAGCGAAGTTTCTGCTATATAAAAGATTTTGATTCAATTCGCTGTCCATTTTCTGTTTTCACATTTTTTTTTAGCTCACCCGCTGTCTTTTATTGATGTAGGTTAACCCTAAAAAAGTGAGACATACTGATCATCATTCAAGACGTGTGATGTCATCACACACTGATGACCCTCCAAACTACTGCTTCCTCGTCTTCCCCCTAGAGTCCAGACACTGTAATTCCCACCTGCAAGATTTAAGTCTGGCTTACCATTAACCATAGAAACCACCTGTCTCAACTAATTATAGAAGAAGACATAACAGACAACAAATACTTGCCATTTTGGTTTCACTCAATACAGAGCCTAGAGCAAGGTTCACTAAGAGATAAATTGGTGTCCATTTTGACAATGGGCACACATCTTGACATAAATAAACATCCACTGCCTATTTGTGTCACTGCCATTACCTTTTGTCTTTTAAACCATTTAACTTATCTTTCCAAAGATATTTTTACACCAGGTGGTAATAACATCTTCACTGGCACACGAGGTCTGTAGTGCAGTTGCCCGCAGTAAATAACATTTTCAGGGCCGTGTTTTAGCAGAGATCTGCTTTATCAGGGTGGTGTTCTGGCAGAGAGATCTGCTTTATCAGAGTGGTGTTCTGGCAGAGTGATCTGCTTTATCAGGGTGGTGTTCTGGCAGAGTGATCTGCTTTATCAGGATGGTGTTCTGGCAGAGAGATCTGCTTTATCAGAGTGGTGTTCTGGCAGAGTGATCTGCTTTATCAGGGGGGTGGGTTTTGCAGAGTATCTGCTTTATCAGGATGGTGTTCTGCAGAGAGATTGCTTTACAGAGTGTGTTCTGGCAGAGTGATCTGCTTTTTCAGGGTGGTGTTCTGGCGAGTGATTTTGCTTTATCAGGGTAGTGTTCTGGCAGGGGTTGTCTGCTTTATCAGGGTGGTTTTCTGGCAGAGTCATCTGCTTTATCAGGGTGGCGTTATGGCAGATTGATCTGCTTTATCAGGGTGGTGTTCTGGCAGAGTGATCTGCTTTATCAAGGTGGTGTTCTGGCAGAGTGATCTGCTTTATCAGGGTGGTGTTATGGCAGACTGATTTGCTTTATCAGGATGGTGTTATGGCAGAGTGTTCTACTTTATCAGGGTGGTGTTATGGCAGAGTGATCTGTTTTATCAGGGTGGTGTTCTGGCAGACTGATTTGCTTTATCAGGGTGGTGTTCTGGCAGACTGATTTGCATTATCAGGGTGGTGTTCTGGCAGACTGATTTGCATTATCAGGGTGGTGTTCTGGCAGAGTGATCTGTTTTATCAGGGTGGTGTTCTGGCAGACTGACTTGCTTTATCAGGGTGGTGTTCTGGCAGACTGATTTGCTTTATCAGGGTGGTGTTCCGGCAGACTGACTTGCTTTATCAGGGTGGTGTTCTAGCAGAGTGATCTGCTTTATCAGAGTGGTGTTCTGGCAGACTGACTTGCTTTATCAGGGTGGTGTTCTAGCAGAGTGATCTGCTTTATCAGGGTGGTGTTCTGGCAGACTGACTTGCTTTATCAGGGTGGTGTTCTAGCAGAGTGATCTGCTTTATCAGAGTGGTGTTCTGGCAGAGAGATTAGCTTTATCAAGGTGGTGTTCTAGCAGTGTGATCTGCTTTATCAGGGTGGTGTTCTGGCAGAATAATCTGCTTTATCAGGGTGGTGTTCTAGTAGAGTGATCTGGTTTATCAGGGTGGTGTTCTGGCAGTGTGATCTGGTTTATCAGGGTGGTGTTCTAGCAGAGTGATCTGCTTTATCAGGGTGGGGTTCTGGCAGAAGATCTGCTTTATCAAGCGGTGGGTTTTGGCAGAGAGATCTGCTTTATCAGGGTGGTGTTCCCAGCAGAGTGATCTGCTTTTCAGGGTTGTGTTCTGGGAGATAACTGCTTTATCAGGGTGGTGTTCTGGCAGAGTGATCTGCTTTATCAGGGTGGTGTTTAGCAGAGTTGATCTGCTTTATCAAGGTGGTGGTTTCTGGCAGACTGAAACTGCTTTATCAGGGTGGTGTACTGGCAGAATGATTTGCTTTATCAGGGTGGTCTGACAGTGTGATCTGGCTTTAAACAGGGGGGTTCTGCAGAGTGATCTGCTTTATCAGGGTGGTGTTCTGGCAGAATGATCTGCTTTATCAGAGTGGTGTTCTGGCAGAGAGATCTGCTTTATCAGGGTGGTGTTCTGGCAGTGTGATCTGCTTTATCAGGGTGGTGTTCTGGCAGAGTGATCTGCTTTATCAGGGTGGTGTTCTGGCAGTGTGATCTGCTTTATCAGGGTGGTGTTCTGGCAGAGTGATCTGCTTTATCAGGGTGGTGTTCTGGCAGACTGATTATAACGGGATTAGTTTGGTAGGCTGTAGCGCAGTGTGTTAATGATAAACTTCGGAGGCTTCTTACTTTATAGTTAAGTCGTAGTGGGTACACAGGCTTGTGTGTTTGTGCCCATGGCCCGGGAGGGCCATGCCCACGAGAGAGAGCTGGGAGTACTTGTGTGTTCCTGCTAGGCCGCTGTGTGAGTGAGGGCGAGGCAAGTCTGGGCATACTGAAGTGGCAAGGCCTATAGGTGGCAGCACCAGCCTGGCGCGAAATATGAACTAAGCTGACAGACAGCATGGGCTGTCTGTGCAGACAGTACAGGCTGTCTACATACGCTCGGCCACCTACCGCGCATCGTCCCGACGCGACAATACTGGTAGTAAAAGAAACTCGGTCTCTCTCTCGTAGGAACAGGGCACAGAACCCCAAAAAAAAAACATATATATCATATGGCATGGAAAAAAAAACTTCCTACAGGGGGGGAAGAAAAACCCTGTGGGGTGTGCTAAACTTTGTGGTCCATAGGCAGTGAGCGTCGATTTGGGGATCACTGCATGCCTTCCTGCGTCTGGACAGATACTGCAACACAGGAGACATCGCTGCGGCTGAGCTGTGACGTAACAGGGTACGGTCTCTGGAACGGTGGAAGCATTCATCGTAGGGGTCGCTGCAGGTTTTCACTCAACCTGGGGCACGACATGCTGGGTGCCCTCGAGTGAGGCGCGACAAAACTCGGCAACTGGGCAGGACTTTTGGGAAGCGACTCAGGAGGACACTTCTCGACTGGTACGTCGCTGGGCTGTCACTGCCCGGGGAGCGTGGAGCGAGTTGTGGAGCGAGTCGTGGCAGAGACGATGGGCGAAACATCTGGGAGTCGTAACATCATATACCAGAAATGCAGGGAGAGAGGGTAGCAGTCAAAGTGACATCTTTTTTTGTGCAGGCTGCTCACCCGAAGCTTGTGACACGAGGCTGACAGTGTGTCATTCTCTCGACGTTGGAGTTATAGCAGAGGTTAGTCTAAGCGTCCCCAGACTTGTTTCTCTACATTAACTGCACTCTACGGTCTGGAGGTGAAGTGAAACAAATCTCGATGGGAATCGTAGCAGGTACGTTTGTAGAACATCACGAGCGACGAGCATAAAAGCTTTCTGTACAAGAGGGCTCGGTCACTCGGAGCTGTTCTTGACATCAGTGTCAAACGTACTGGTCCACACGGGTGACTTAGCACAGTGGGTGCTACTCAGGTCTGGCTCAGACCTCACTGGACTCACGGAAAATTTTAAAAACAAACCCCTGTACATACGGTACACTAACATGTGAGAACACTGACTGAGAAGAATTAATTACACACGACAATATTTTCTCTCAATCTTCTCGACAATACTGAAATAATATGAACACTCGATGGTGACATCATGTGATGTCAGGCGGGGATGTCGCGAGGTGACGTCAGCAGACTGGTGCTCAGCAGACACTCGAAAGGGGACGTCAGGCAGACATCGTGAGGTGACGTCAGGCACTCCATCTCGAGGTGACGTCAGCAGACATCTCGAGTGACGTCAGCAGACAATCGTGACTTCATGAAGTCGGGCAGCATCGTGGGTGACGTCAATGTGATGCGGGCAGCCCGACCACAGCATGTGGCCTGGGGACATCTGGGGAAACTCACATGGCTGGTAGATCCAACGTGACACGCCCACACCCACGTGACATCGTGATCCACGTGGTGTCGTGATCTACGTGGCATGCTGGTCCACGTAGCTTCGAGTGGCCACGGACACTCGGATACACAGCTCTGGCAATGAATTCACATGGAAAACAGCAGAAAACACAGCAGAGGGAGTGGGCAGTGGTGAGTGGTGTATGGTAGACGGGTGAGCGTGAGTAGGGCGAGCATGGGCAAGGTGAGGAACAGCCACTTCCTCTCCTCTCCTCCCCCACCCACAAATACATAGAGAACTCACACTGGACGCAGAAATCACCACAAAACTCACCTCTGGCTTGCTGAAACGGCTGTGCTGAGCTGAACAACAACAACAGCAACATAAAAGTGACGCTGAACACGTGACTTGAGAAACAGCGTGGGACACTGTAGCGTGGGACGCTGTAGCGTGGGGTCACTGTGACGCCACTTACAATTCTCGAAGAAATTCGGCAAATTTCGGCTGGATCCTGCTTGTACCTGTGTCTGGGTGCTCAAACGTGCAGACACGACATCAGGATAACTTGTTGAGAGACAGATGCTTCTTGTGTAGGGTGATGAAGTGAAGATGACTTCATACCTCTTCCTCCCTCTCTCCAGGCAAACACAACTGCTGCGAGCACCGCTGGTACCAATTATAAAAAAGGATTGTTTGGTATTCTGGTAGCGGGTGGTTAAATGATACGTCTTCTTCGGAGGCTTCTTCGTTTATTGTTAAGTCGTAGTGGGTACACAGCCTTGTGTGTTTGTGGGCATGGCCGGG